TTCAGCATCTTAGCTGTAGAGGGCAGTGTCACTGGCCCTCATATGTGGGATCCGAACCGGGGCCCTCTGGCATCCCAAGCCAGCTCTTAACCATTGCGCCACTCGGCCGGCCCCAAGCAGTTTCTTACAGAAAAGGAAGACGGACTCAGGTGATAATAGCCTAGACTAGACCCCTTGAGCGAGAGCCAAGAACACTGGATTAGGGAACTACTCCTAGGGAGGACAACCAGGCCCTAATGGAGAAGCAGATCCTTTGAGTCAGGATGACAGTGCTTGGCTGGCTTTCAGAATGCTATGGACTGGCGACGACAGTGTGCCTGCCATTCTCCCCACCCCCATGCCCACCCCTGCCTTTGAACAGGAGTGTCTATTGCAGTGTTACTGTCCCTGTTTCAGTATTTTGTATGTTATATATGTAACTTGTCTTTTTAGTTCACAGGTTTCCAGATAAAGAGGAGAAGCATCTGAAATGCCTCATCTACACCTGGGCCTCGTGCATGTTACTAGATCCAATACTTAAGAGCCAAGGATATACAGAAGGATAATTTGAGGGGAGGAAGTGAGTGTGTGTGGGTGTGTATGTGTGAATTTTTGTGGCCAGAGAGTGGATTTGATAGAGTTTTTCCAAGTATGACTGCTAATAATTCCTCCTGTCGCAGCCACTCCTCCCATTAAGAAGCAGAGTCTCTTTCCTCTCCCCTTGGATCTGGGCTGGCCTTATATGACTTTCTTTGGCCAAGAGAATACAATGAAAGTGATATTCTGGGAGTTTCAAACCCTGGCTTTAAGAGACCTTGTAGTTTCCGCCTTCTCCCTTTTGGGATCCAGTCACTGTGTAAAAAAGGTTGGGCTGGACCCCTGAATGATGAGCAATCACATGAAGAGAGGGAGCCTTCAGCCATTTCATTTCCCTGAGCCGAGGTGACAGACGTGTGGGTGAAGCCACTCAGACATTCCAGCCCCGGCCACACTCACAGTTGAATACAATCACATGCCTGACCCCAGCTGACATCATGGGGCAGCAGAAGAACTATCCAACTGTGCCCTTCCCAAATTGAAGAAATGGGAGAAAATAAATGATGGTTCTTTTAAGCCACGAAGTTTATGGTGGTTTGTCATGCAGCAATAGATAATTGAAACAGCTATCAAAGTTCAAGGTATTTTCTGGTCTTTAACTCTAGTCCATGGGCTGTGAAGAGGTTGCAAGTGTCAGACAAAGCCGCCAAGTTTTCAAGGAGACTAAATTTCATAAAAGCTGGACCCAGTATGCCACCGTCATTGTTCTGTTCACAGAGCTTAACATAGTACTGGCACATAATAGACACCCAAATATTTGTTAAATGAATCATTAAATAAATGAATAGAGATAAGACCCGATACCATTAAGAAGACAGACAAAAAGAAGATACTTTAAACAGAGTTTGTCCATTGCATTTTCTTTTTCAAAAAGTTACTCTTTATTGTTTGAAAAAGTGATGTCTCAGAAGCCAGGGTATGTTCTGAAGGGAAAAATGTTTAGGAGTGAGGCAATGGTCTGCCTTAACTCCTTTTCGATGTCCTTCCTATACACAGACAAATGCGGGTTACTCTGTAAAGTGCCTGGTCAGTGCCCCAATACCTGCTGGTATATCAAAATAAGGATATTTTTCTATTATTGGAAGAGCTATAAAGCACATATGTTTTCTGTAGGGCTAGAGTCAGAGTTAGTATTAAGGGGACCAAAGTAGAATATCCAATAGTCAGTGTTAGGTTGGGGATTGAAACAGGCAAAGCAGTCTTGTCATGTTAGGTCTTTTCCTTTCTATCACTCTCTAGTCCACTCTCTAGCCAAGTCACAATTTCAGAATGCCACTTGGACACAGTGAGTGCCTGGTCTGTCTGTTCTGTGGTTCTCCCAGAAGCACCCTGCCCAACCTTTATTTCTCACAGTTGTAAGTTCATACAGCATACCTCTCTACTGAGATGTGAAAGGAGACATAAGTACCATCTAAAATAGCTCCAGGAGAGATTTACGACATGAAAAGCTTGTAGACAATAATGGAAACTTTTCTTTTAGAGTGCAGTTACTTGTATGATCTGTAGCAGTGCCTTCTGGGGAAATGTCTTGGACAAAATATCTTTATTCCAAAGAACAGCAATATTTGTAATTAGGATAAATGAAATAAGGGGAAAGCCTTTGGACAATTGGAAGAATGGGGTGGTTTAAAGTCAAACCTATAATTGTTAACATTTTTCTGTTCTATATTATTAAGAAAACAGTGCTTAAACAGATTAAAAATAGAGAAGGTTGCTTAAAAATTAAAGCCATTGATTTAGATCTCTACTTGAAAGGTCAGTGTGTGGGAGATGAGAAAGGCACTGTAGTGTGCAGAGTGCTCAGCAAAAAACATGTCAGCAGCAGGACCTACAAAGCTCACATCAACTATTTACATCACCAACATCTAGTGGCTGGTCATTTCACTTATCAAAAAAAGTAAGAAAGGTATTTTCTTTGGACATTCTTTGAGTGTAGTAACAATAAGGTTTGGGACTCAATTGTTAGAAACTGATAATTAAAGCTGGTTTGTCATGTTCACTAATTATTCTAGATAGTTAGCCTCCCTGAAGCTTTATATAATTCTCCCTTTGTTACAAGCTTTTGTTTCTCCCCATGGGCGTTCTGAATCCAGACAGGTAAAGAACTGAAGTGCTTGGAAACCAATGTGTATTGTATTGTATGTACAGCCAAGCAGATGTTTGCCTTTGAACTTGAAAAAATTATAAAAAAACAAAAAACTTTCTGTACATTAGATGGGCTCAGCTACTTAGAGGTTTAAGCTCTACCACCTGGGTAAGGAGATTTCTTGGATAGAAGGAAAAAGTGAAGAAAACAAAAAATGAAAAAGGATACTTTAGTATTTTCTTCAGGAACCTACTTAACCCTGGGAAAGGGAGGAGGTTTTTATTCAGCAACTCCTAATAATCACCTGATATTACTGTCAGGCTGGCCAATATCTGCCAACATTGCTGATCTGTTCATTCATCACTAGAGAAAAGTAGAGGGACATGATATTTAGAGAAATAGCAAAACTATCTCCCATTTTCTTTCTTCAGCTGATGGAGGTGTTTGTGGGCCAGTCTCATATTCCAGCACTTTATTGCTGGTGATGCACATCCTCTTTGCTCCAAAATAACTCTGCCAGGGGAATTGAAAAGGATCCTTCCTCGTGCCTGACATCAACAGGGCATAAGTGAACCCATTTTCTTCCCCGGAAGTGGATTTCAGAACTTCTCAGATGATGGAAGAGTAATCCTCACTTAGGGTAGGCTCCAGGGGAGGGGCAAAGAAGGACATTCTTATAACAGGGACTCTGGACAAGCTCAGCCACCTGAGAAACAAACATGGGACATTTTATCCCTCCTCAATCTACTTCCCTTCATTTAACTTCATCTTCTCTTTGCATTTTCCCACCAAACAGTAGTTGATATTCAATTGAGTACAGCTCAGGTCTTATCATGCAATCTAGTGGAACACCTAGAAATCAGGGACTCCTTGTCCTTGGTTATCTGTAAAATAAAGAAATGTCAAATCCTGTGTGGACAGGATTTTCATCTTTGGAAACCAAAGTAGGAGTAGGCCTTTCTCCCACTCTTTCCAAATTGCTTTCCATTTAATTTTCCACTGTGGCCCTTGCCTCCCACAAGCTGACCAGAACCATTCACAAAATCAGCTTCCGATAAATACCAACATTGAAGGTTTAGCGGGTTGCTAACTCTTGTCGTATATAAATGCCAAGTTTTATGGAGACCTAGAGATCTCTAAGAACACTGTAAATATCCCTGGTTTAATTAGTAGTTTTGGAGTTAGGTAATGGCCTGTGGTTTCTAAGCTAGGTCTCTTGGGGTTTCTAGTCTTCAGGGACTGCATGCAACTAAGATGTGCTCATGTACAATCTTCTGTCTCATAAATTGAATAAAACCGTCTTTAGATCTTGCCAGGCACCTATTCTCAATTACTGCAATACACATGCAAATTGATCCCTAGTCTACCAGATCTAAAAAAAAAAAAGAAAAAAAGAAAGAACCATTGCCTCAGCCTAGATCTCAACTCAGAGATACTTTTGGACTCCAATTGTCTCCTTGAGTTCTACTTCCCAGGGGAAAGAAAAGGAAGAAATTCCTAGATTGATGCCCATTTTCTCTAAGCAGAAGGTGGACAACTCGCTTTGCAGCTGATCAATGTCGGGGTAAATGCGCTCCAGTTCCCAGCATTTCTGAACCAGCTCTCTCGCCGGGATAGGTCAAGTAATCGACGCTGTAAGCAGACTTGACAGGTTTATTCTGGGCTGACGGCCATTGACTAGGTTCTCCGACCAGATAAGTCACTTGGCTGAGTTTACAGTAGGTGGGGCGCGCTCACCAGGTCATCAGCTCAAGGGTAGTGACTGGAAGTTTGTTGCAACATCGTTGAACCCAAGCAGCGGGCTGCTGCAGGAGATACCCTTTTGCCCCGCGAGCAAGGCACTAAGGAAAAGGTTCGCCCTAAGGAGCATCGGGCACTAGCAAACGAGAAGCCCCAGACCCCCCGGGGCCCAGCCCCTTCTCCCACTGTTGGGAACGCGCAGTTTTAGCCGTCCTGAGCTAAGAGTGTCAGGTCTCGGCCATTTAATTTGCTCTGTGGGTAACAGGCGAAGAGTGGGACCAACTTGGGAACTCTCGCTCGGTGGTCTGCAACAATCAGCGGCGGCAGCCACTGGTGCGGGAGGCGGGGGCACGTGTTTGGATGTGGGTGCTTGTGTAACCAGCTCCCAGGCGTCAGCCCCGACAGTGCTCCGGTAGGTGACTCGCCTAAATCCGTTTTTCCGCCGCGACCCCGGAGGCTCTGGGGTCCCTTGTCCGCACAAGGCGGGAGCACCCCGGACGAAGTAAGCGAACCATTCGCCTCTGCAGCTATCATAGGGGAGTGGGAATTTGGAAAGTTCCCCAACTAGGAACACACGTGACCTCCTGAAAGTAGTTCCGACTGTGGCCGTGTATCCCTCCACCTCCTTTTGAACCCTCCTATGTCTCCTCGGCCCCGCCCACTCGCAGGGGCTGCAGCTTCCTACCGTCCCGTACTCGGGCTAGCAACCCCGGCCTCCAGCGTGCACAACCTGGCTTGGGGAGCACGGAACCTGGCCCTGGGGCGATCCCGTCCGGATTTTCACTGCGGCCCAAAAGGGGCGGGGCGGGGCGGGGCGAGGTAGCTCGGAGGGCCGAGCTGGAGTTGGACGCGGTGAACCGAACTGGAACCCTGAGGGGGGGAAGTGTTCAGACCTCCAGGGGATGCTGCATGGTGCAGCCCACCTGGGGATCCGCTTTCAGTCCGCCTGGTCAGTTGTCCTTTGGGACCTAGAAATTCAGGGTCGATACACTCACGCTCAACCTGCTCGGCCGGGACCTCTCATTTTTAGGGCAAACGAGCCGACTTGCTGGGGAAGCGGGAGGTGGGGCGGTGAAAGAGAGCCGGATGAGGTGATACACACTGGAGACACAATAGGGGGTTGTTCTTTGTGCTGAGACTGACACCTTGAGAACACGGGGGCGGGGGAGGAGGGGAATGGAGGTGGGTTTGCTCGGAAAGGCTGCTGCAGTCAAATCCCTGCGAACGACTGTGATCCAGCAGCGGTGTGTAAAAGGAGAGTGAGGCTGCAGGCCGTGTCGGGGAAATCTGGGGGCGGAGGCAGGGGAAGGGGTGTCATCGCTGCAGGGTCCGTCCCTGCGTTTCCCTGTACACTGACCAGCGCTGTCACCCGCTCCTTTGCACCTGTGCACAGGTAACCTCAAACTCGAGTCAGTGACACCACTCAACGCAACCTCCTCAGCTTTCACCTTCAGCCCACCCCTCCCCCCGCAACAGCCTACCCTGCCTCTGGCTGGGTTTCTGGGCACAAACCAAGGATTAGCTAGTTCCCCCCGTCCTGCGTTGATGCAGAAGCCGTCCAGGCAAGTGCAGCTACTGGCGGGCGCCTCGGAACATGCCCGAGCGAGCCCAGGGCAGTCACACTGGGCATGCTCAGTGGCGCCTGCAGGCTGAGGGCTCGGAACTCTTCCTCCGAGCTGCCGCTCCTGCCCCCTCCCTGCTACCCCTGCCCTACCCCGTCCTTCCCTCCTCTGGCACTGTCGCGCCCGCCTCCCCTCAGACTCCCGAGGCGCTTGGGCTCTCCGCGCGTCGGCGGAGGGGGCGGGCAGGCCGGCGGACGGTGATGTGGCGAACTCTTTGTGCACTGCGGCAGGATACACGTTGGGACGCGGCTGCGCTCAGTTCTCCTCTCGGAAGCTGCAGCCATGATGGAAGTTTGAGAGTTGAGCCGCTGTGAGGCGAGGCCGGGCTCAGGCGAGGGAGATGAGAGACGGCGGCGGCCGCGGCCCAGAGCCCCTCTCAGCGCCCGTGAGCAGCCGCGGGCGCAGCGCCCTCGCGGAGCCGGCCGGCCGGCGGCGGCGGCGGCAGCGGCGGCGTTCCTTGCCTTGTCTTCGTCTTCTTTTCTAACCGTACAGCAGCTTCTTCCTCAGCTTCTGTAAGGGAAGGTGGAAGCCGTGGGCTCGGGCGGGAGCCGGCTGAGGCGCGGCGGCGGCACCTCCCGCTCCTGGAGCGGGGGGGAGAAGCGGCGGCGGCGGCGGCCGCGGCGACTGCAGCTCCGGGGAGGGAGTCGGAGTCGCCTGTCACCATTTCCAGGGCTGGGAAAGCCGGAGAGTTGGTCTCTCCCCTTCTACTGCCTCCAACACGGCGGCGGCGGCGGCGGCACATCCAGGGACCCGGGCCGGTTTTAAACCTCCCCTCCGCCGCCGCCGCACCCCCTCTGGCCCGGGCTCCGGAGGCCGCAGGAGGAGGCAGCCGTTCCGAGGATTATTCATCTCCCCATTCCGCTGCCGCCGCTGCCAGGCCTCTGGCTGCTGAGCAGAAGCAGGCCCAGTCGCTGCAACCATCTAGCAGCCGCCGCAGCAGCCATTACCCGGCTGCGGTCCAGAGCCAAGCGGCAGCAGAGCGAGGGGCATCAGCTACCGCCAAGTCCAAAGCCATTTCCATCCTGCAGAAGAAGCCCCGCCACCAGCAGCTTCTGCCATCTCTCTCCTCCTTTTTCTTCAGCCACAGGCTCCCAGACATGACAGCCATCATCAAAGAGATCGTTAGCAGAAACAAAAGGAGATATCAAGAGGATGGATTCGACTTAGACTTGACCTGTATCCATTTCTGCGGCTGCTCCTCTTGCCTTTCTGTCACTCTCTCTTAGAACGTGGGAGTAGACGGATGCGAAAATTTTCCATAGTCTGGGTGACTATAACATTCAACCGTGGTCGAATTTCTAGGTTATATACATTTGGTGCCTCTTTTGAATGCATTGAACGGAGGGTGTGTTCTGCTAGAGGGAACTCTTGCCTGGTTGCAAGTGTCAAGGCACCGATTGGTTTCTTAGCCTATGCATGGGGTCTCTTCCTAAGGGCTATTGTCCGTTAATACAGAATACTGTACGCTGTTCCTGGTTTAGTGAGCTCGGTAATCCGGTCTACTAAATGAACAGAAAAATAGACGCTTTGAGGTTGGGCATATCTTGATTGAATCTTGGCTTTAGGCCCTAGATCAAGGGTATAGATCAGATTAAAATGAAAATTAGTGTTGCACGTACGCATATTGCATCAGAATCTTGCAGTGATTGTACTTAGTTTTCTGGGTTGCATTGATAGACTTAAAATGTGACTGGTGAGCTGATTTGCATAATTTTAGAAGCAGACTCATTTTCAGCATATATGGTGCTCATTGGAAGACAAGCAGGGTTTGTATGTTTAAACTAAGTTAATTACAACTTTGATGTGCATTTAGAAGTTTTGTTTCAAATCAATAGTGCCGTAATATATCTCATAAGGCGCTCTTTTTACATCTTTGTTAAAATTGCCTTTTTCTCTCTTGATGGGGTGCTGTAGGCTAGGGCATGAAATTTGCAGTTCAAGTAGCATTTTGTATTCAGTGCTCTTGTCACACATAATAGAATGGAGATTGAGTGGTTTTTGATCCCAGTGATAATGTTGTGTAGGTTCAAGAGACTGTGTAGCAAATAGTGATTGCAGAGATTAAACTTCAGTTCTCACTTGAAATTTAAGTATTGTGATGCCAGAATTGCTACTCATCTGATTTAGACTTCAGGTCCTCTGACACTTTTGGGTTTCCCTTAAATTTACTTCAAGTTGTGTAGAATGTCAACTATGAGTGACCAGCTAATAACCAGAAATGCTGGCAAGAGTGGATTACTCCAACTTCAGATTATTAGGCATGTTAGCTTTTTTCCATATAGTGTTAAATTTACTGAGTCAGCTTGTTGAATAAGACAGAAACCCCAGATATTTTTACAGTGTACAGTTTTGGTTGTCTAAAAGGTAGGCTTTTGTACTTCAAAAGGTAGTGGTTATTGAAAGGCATTAATCGTTGTAGTTTCAGATACAATAAACTGGTTTTGATCAAGGATAGGGAGCCCTCCTTTTGACAGAATGGGAAGTATTACTGGAACTGAATTACTTACTGGTAGGCCAATGTATAAGGCATGAAAAACAGAATTAAGTTATTGACCTGAGGTGACTGGAACACTTTATTAAGGCCTCTATTAAGGCCAAAAATTTGGTGGTGTGAATTATAGCAATGGACAATATTTAGTTGAAATTATGTAATTGCAGAAGTGTTAAAGTATTCTCAGTAGAAATTATTTCTTAGCAAATATCAGTAAACATTTTGCTTAAAAGTAGAGTGACACTAACATGTGTATGTCCTAAAAATTGTGGGGAAGGTTTTGTTTGTTTGTTTTCAGAAAACTTTATATCTGAAGAGGTTTTATTCCTTTGGATTATGTAGGTACACATATGTGCACAGCTACTTTTGCCCAAGTTTCTGTTTTGAAATGATGATAAAAGTTACTGAAGAAATAGCTTTACAACATACAAAATGTAACAGCTTTCTAAGTTAAAAATAATATTGAAAAAATAATTGGAAATTTTGGGGAGATTGCATTAATTGAAAAGCTTTGCTAAGGCTGAACTTGACCCGCTTGCCTAGAAGATAATTAGGTAAAAACTCTTCTGATTTGTAACATTTCAAAAGTAGTGTACTATTGGTGTGACTTGACAGTCATCTAGATATAAAAGAACAAATTAATTAAATGTTTTAACTTTTTTTAAAAAGCCCCAATTCAAAAAAATGTCTAGAATGCCGTTTGGTAGACAGATTGCTTTAGTAATCAAAGTACACGTATGCTATTTTTACTTTACCCATTTGATTTAAAATTATCCGCGTTATAAGACTAACATTATTCTACCAGGTTCTTATATGTGAGTAGTGAGCTGGTTGGCCATTTCTCCTTTTATTTCAGAGTATGTGTACTTCTGGATGTGAAATTTGTGTGACTTAAAACTTTCTCTAAAACTGTATTTTTCGTTAAGGTATGCATAGAAAGCAGTATCAAATATTTCATCAAATGACTAATAACACTTAATTTCTAGAGTTGTGGTTTTATTGAGCCAAATGTTGATAAGAAAAAAAAATCACTTAGGAAAAAGTCTGTGAAGGACTTGCTTTTTTTACACTTCCAATAATTTTGATATACCAAAGCACTTTGGTTTGCTTGGTTTCACTTTAGTGTTTTGTGTTTATTGTGGGGGGAAAAATTAAAATGGCCATTGAAGACTGTCACTGGCAGGTTTGTAGCATCTATTTCAGTAGCTAGCCTGTTGAAAAGTTAAATTTTCTTTGTGAAAGTAGCAATTGGAGTATTTTTATCTTTGATTTCTTAGAGGAAAATTGAAGACCATAATTCAGTTGTAAAAGAGTTTTACATAATTGAATTATTTTAAAAATAATTTGTTGGTAGGGTTTTAGTCTTAGTGTTGGTCTGGAAAATAGTGCTGAGCACGAGGCTATAAAATATTTAGTGTCTTTAGATTTCATGGAAACTTTAGGTTTCTGTTGTATTTTTATCATTTGATAAGTTTACGTCTTTTCAAATATTAACCTTCATAGGGAATATTTTTAATTTGTAGAGAGTACAGTGACTATTGAAATTAGCTGTATTATTTTTTAAGATTAGTGATTACTGAAACAGCTATATTTTGAAGTTTTAAAAAAATTCCATTCGCAATTTTTATTTTACAGTTATGTATCTGCTAAGTTGTATTTTTTCCTGAACAACATGACCCCCAACTAATTGTTATATGATAATTTACAAACTGCATTTTCATAAAGCTTATTCTAGACTAAAACTCATCTGAAAGGAGAATAATTTATAGTTTTATATGACTCTTAATATAAGGAAAAAGGGATTTTACTGCTGTCCACGGTAAATGTTTGTATAGTATTATAGTACAGTCATCAATGCAGACTTCATTGCTTATAATATACTAAAATACTAAATGAATAAACAACATAAAATATGTGTGATATAACCACCCTAATTTTAAATTTAGTTTTAGAAAGATAGGAGAGAAAGATGCATTTGTGTGTATTACCTTTTAGAATTTTAACAACGTGAGAAAGGTAGCTGGTGATATTATTTTAATTTTTGTGTGGAGCAGTGTATCTGCTTTTTCCTAATAGCCACCTACAATATACAAATCTCTTAATGATACAAAATTCCTTAGTTTTTGGAAGTGAAGTCTTCAGTGCTTATCTTCAAGTGTTCTCATTTTGAGATTTGCCCCATTTGGTATTTGTTTATTTGGTGATAGCTTAATAGTTTTTAATAATTTTTAAGGCACTTAGAAGTAATCACTTTAGCGACTTGATGCAGGAGTATTTGTTATGGGAAAATCAATTCATAAAGTTTCAACATTAATTCACACTCAGTAAGCATTCTATTTTAAAATTTTTACCTCTGTCTTTTTAGTAAAACAAAAGTATAGGAAATATTTCCATATTAATATTGATTGTGAAATTGGAGTTTGTAAAGAGAAATTTAGAAGTGTGCATGCATATGACAGGTTATCAATTACTTAAAATGTTAG